CAAACTAGCCACCGAATATAAAGAAAGCTGCACCGCTAAAATTGATCCAAGCACCGAGTATAAAGCGGTTAGCAGTGAGTATAATGGCTTTCACACCAGGTATAATGTGGAAAGTACCGAGTACCTTGGATAAAGAGCCGAGTATAAGGTGACTGGCACCGATTATAGCAACCAGAGCACCGAATATCATGATACAAGCACCGAAGATGATAAGAAAAGCACCACGGATAAGAAAACAAAATATCATAAGACAGTTATGGCGTTCCATATGCGAGAAACACCAGCATCGAATTTTTATTTCACTACTGTTTGTAACAGCGTCCGAGCAACCTGAGGTATGCTTTCATAAAATGTTTTCCCTCAGAAAATGATGCCAAAAGTTTATTTAGTCGAAGAAATTTTGCACCGAATTGCCAAGATTGCTCTTTCAATATGACCACGAAAGAGTTTGAATGTTACGTTAAGAAAAGTCTTTACTTTTAAATCAAGCTAGTATCCGGTAAAAACTTTGATTTCAACTTGACGGACTTATCTTGACATAAAATTCACGATACAGCTTTAGTTTCCATCTCTGCAAATTGGATTACAGCTAATTATTTTTATTATATCAGATGTTTCGTAAGAGTCTTGCGGCTTTTCTTAATCATTTAATCATCAGTGTTTCTTGGACTTTGCCCATCTAATTGATCGGTTTGTTCAATTCGACGAATATGTAGTCACCCGACGGAGGCTGAAGGTCAATAAGCTTGACAAAAAATAAAATTTCACTGCATTCAGGTCATGCACGCTCTCTTTAAGACCAATACAGAAAAATACTTCCTTTCCTCATTCTTCGTTGTCACACAGTTCAATCGTTTTGGAACTGATCGGGATACTTTGAGGAAAAGGAAAAATACAACACTGCTGATAACAATTAGCTAGGTTAATCCCTGAAGAAAATACATGATCGATAATAAATGATATAGTCTGTTGACAATCCAGTGAACTACAGACGGGTTCCGTATGTTGTTCCTGTTATTCCGATTATAAATAACACGCCTCAACAGAAACAGGAAAAGAAAGCAGTCGGGGCTGATTTCAGCGAAATGCTAAAAAAATTGCGAATATTATAACACTTCAATATAGTGAAATATGACTGATTGGCTTCGTTTGACAGCCAAGTAAGATGGTTTTCAATGATACCATTATCGAGGGAAAAACCCACTTTTACTTTCAAATTCAATTGAGAAAAAGAGAAAGTAATTTCTGCTTTGAAGGATTAAAAGGTCTAGCCATCATTAACAAAAGCTTTCATGGAAATTTTGAGAGGTCAATGTCTAATCAGTAGGTTTAGGAGCAACTTGAGAGTGTTTGACTAATCAGAGTTTTATTAAACAAGGAATTTATGCTTACTCAGCATATAACTAATGCTTCAGATAAACAGATGTCGTTGGGCCACAAACTGTAGTATGAACGAGATTATACATCAATCGACTTAAGGAGTTTGGCCCTTTTTATTGTGAACGGTTTTACGTACCCTTCGTGATTTAATTAACAGAGATAATATTTTCCCTTGTGAAAGTGAAAGTGCTGTATCAGCAGGTTGGTAATTTTTTTTTCCAAATGAGCTGGTTCAGTTCATTCCTTGAGCCACAAACTGTAGATCACTTCAGTCTTAAGTAGTCAAGTATGAACGAAATTATACATCAATTGACTTTAGGAGTTTGGCCCTCTTTCTTTTGAACGGCTTTACGCGCACATCATGATTTAATAAGAATTTTTCCCTTTTGTTAATACTGCTTCTGTTTTTTTTTTCCCTTTCACTAGCCAAAGAATCATCAAGTAATTATTAAAGTAGGTCGGCGTTTCTCAGAAACGCCGACCTGCTGATACAGCACTTTCACTTTCACAAGGGAAAATATTATCATGATGTTTCCATAAGGTCGTAGTAGTAGCAAGTATGATAAATAATGTAAGAAATAGTCAACTTTTTTGAGAGACATGTTTCGGCATGCTTATGCCATCTTCAATCAATGAGTAACTGAACGTGAGTAATTATATAACAGACAAGTAGATGAATAAAATATTTACAGTATGATGTAATACAAAAGCGGGTACTAATTACAATATTTTCCCTTGTGAAAGTGAAAGTGCTGTATCAGCAGAAACGCCGACCTACTTTAAAAAGTACTTGATGATTCTTTGGCTAGTGAAAGGGAAAAAAAAACAGAAGCAGTATTAACAAAAGGAAAAAATCTATTGGAATCACAAAACAAAATTGGCCCCCGATCACTTTAGTTTTGTTTGTACATGGCCTGCCGTAACCGCCCTACAAGATCTGTCAACTAGAATTAATTTCAGGCCATCAATCAACGTAATGACTTATATTTGAGATATTTGATGTTTTGAAGGTTAAAAAAAAAAAAAAACAGCATTCTTTGACACAGGAAGCCACGAAACACTATTTTGGCAAAAGAAACAATAAAATTTTCATTCAAAGGGCAGCTTTATTCCACTGAGTTTGGTTGACGTGAACTGCATTGTCATCACAACTACGTTGGAGTTCCGGTTGAACTTTCAATCTGATCTGATATTTCATACCCGCAATTTCCCATCCTAGTAGGACACGGAGCAAATAAATAGACCTTCACCAATCACGTGCGGCTCGTATGTTTGATTTAAAAGCTGCGGGGGCGATATAATTGACTGGTGACCATATCTTTGCTTAGTAAGCACTTTTTTCATTGTCTAGGCAGTCAAAGGGAAAAACCCCCTAATTTGCACTGACGAATCAGAAACAAGCATTCACACTCACTAAATACAGCTGAGAATCCCAGGTCGAGTGCAAGATAAAAGATAGTGTTGATTGGTAGTTGTTGGATTCCAGAGGTTGCGTGGTTAGTCATTTGACGATCTCAAAATAGGTGAAACTTTCCTTAAATAAACTGATTTCGAGACATCAAAATCAACGGTCGTCGATGGACAACGACAGGAATTGATATCCATTTCCCTCGCCGGGGGCAAGAGGGATGTTTGTCCGACAGCATTCATCTAAGAATAGTAGTTTGGGTTGTGGTTTTTATGACAGATGGCGTCAGCACGTGTTCTGTTCCACTGGGGGGCGAATCAATAGAGTGACCATCAGTCAAAAACTTGAAAGGAGATATGAACTGTGATAGGCGTAATGATATCCTTTGTCGGCATCTTTTGTTAAGGCTCGGCAGACCAGAAATGTGACGATGAACTACTTTTAAATGAATAAAAACAAGGAATGTGCCGGAGAAGCAATATCAAAATGATGATGTTCACATGTCTGTATGGAAAAATTACTTTTTTTTTTTTTTTCTGAAACTCAGGCTGGACACTTTGGTCAAAACCTTTTTCTGTTTCTTCCATGACTCCTTTAGGAAACTTAGTCACCGATAATATTTTTGAAGTTCTGCTTCATTAAGGTTGTCTTTTTGTTCTTTCGCTAAGTGCAGTTGCTTCAAAATTTTACAAACAAATGCATTAGATATAAATCACTCGCACCACGAGTTTTTGTATTCGTAGTACAACGAAAATGCGATGCATAACTCCAAAACATGGATAAGAACTTCTATACTCGCATCCAGCAATCGTGAAAATGTAAAAACGGACAGAGTTTTTCGTTTATTTATATTCAAGCGTTATACTACTAACAATGTAGGCAGAACTAAATGTGCTGGATGCTCGTCTTATAGTATGGTATTTTCTCTGTGAAAGAAAGTGTAAGGGAAAGAACACGCAGCTTATCGTTATCGCACAATTATTTGAGCACGAATAAGTTCTCTGACAAACTCAAATAACTCAAATAGCACACAGATAAGAGTGGTTACATATCTGATCGGCGCTTCCAGAACTTCACGAAACGTAACGAATGAAACATGTTCAGCTTGAAGTCGTCGTCGATGTTTTCTTTTGATTTTATGTGCAACTGATTGCAACCATACCACAATGTTAGACTGGATGTAGAAATGATAAGCGCGACTTTTTTTCTCAGTTTACGCTGTTTTGTTTTGCAAAAGAGCCAAAGAGGTGTCGACACAGTATCCGCAAATGAACAACCACGTGACCGTGACCTGAGGGCTCAACTTTGTCACTTCGTGCCGGATCGAAGCAGACAAGTTCTTCACGGCAACTAAGCAGGATGGCAAAACGACCTCATTAAACCGTTTGAAGTCCTATAACTTCAAGACGAAGTTACCAAAAGATACAATGTAATCGGGAGTGATGGAGGTAAGGAGGAAACTTAAAAAGTAGAGTGACACGTGCTGTTATTCATTGTTGTTATGGATTATTAATGCTAAAGATTCTTCTTTACACCGATTTCATGAACGAATATAAACTCCACACGTACATGTAACCTTAAAGTTTCGTCATTTCTTCATTCATACAACCAACTTGCTTGATCTATACAAACGAATGATGTTAATTTAATACACGAAACATCAACCATGATAAGCCTATGGCGCAGATGGTTGTTTTACGAATCGAATTCGATTTTAGTTAGGTTCAGCGTCGTTTAACAAGAGCTTAAGCTAGGAATACTTTGTGAAGGTTTCAACTAGCAATCAATGGGCCAGATTGAGGAATATAAGATCATCAGCGAATGGTCGTCGTGCTTACGTCCTAAAGATGAAGACAACGCCATTTCTTTATGCCTCAAAGGCTATTCGATCGGACTTGCCACGTATACTCGTCCGTGATTGTTTGAAAAACCACTGTTTTACGACAATTTATTTCCTGTGCTTCAATTAAAGTTCTTCATTTTCACCAGCAAGTTCGAATTCAGAATATTTTCGTAGAATACTGATTAGGTCGCTAAACTAGAAGGCCCCTGTGCCGAATTTTATGGTTCTGTCCTTGTGTACCGGTTCACAAGGGTTGTTCTTTCTTGGTTTAGGAGTCATTGGTTAGCTGTTGTGCATTGTTCGGTCTTTTGTAACGGCTCTTGTGAACCGGTACACGAGGACAGAACAAATTTTATTTTTGATTTACACGAGATTGGACTTCAGACGTAAATATTGAGAATACGCAGGTAAATTTGTTTTTGACCAGAGAAGGTGGAGTGATAATACTACTACAGGTTTTGCCACTAGCAATTTTTTCCTTAGTGAGAGAATGTCATTCTGTGTCATTTTACGGTAATCAACTGAGTCTGTGTTCTGTTACCTGACATTCATGTTTTCTGTTATATGCATTAAGGTATCATCTTTTGGAGCGCAAGTATTAGAGGCTTTAAATCCTCGCTGGCATATTTATGTTTCAAGTATTTTTTATGATATAGAAGTGGCACTGAAAAGTTTGCAAATCCAAAAATCATAACTCCAAAACATAAACTCTAATAATTAATAGATTCTAATTTTATCCCTGAAGTTGTGTTTGGAATTCAAGTTTGAGATGGAAGAAAATTAATCGTGGCTAAGCTAAGAATACCTACCTGTTTTCTAACAAATTAAACGTATTACTCTTCTGGGCAATATAACCTGCTATAATTCTTCCTGTCGCGACAAGAATATGCTTTCTTCTCTGTAATTATATGTATAAGGCAGCCAGTTTTCGTTTGGAGTAAACAAACTGGCAGTTATTTGCAAAATATACGTAATCGTGCGTAGTCGATCGAGCTCTTTGAAATCATGGGTGTTTTCTGTGACGATACCAGAAGGAATTTATGAAATACATGCCGAGGGGTTTTCACCCTCAATTGTGTTCGCTCACTGGTATTCTTTGCTATTAAGGTAAGGTGACCGACCTTGATCGAGTAAACAATGCATAGTAACGCAATCATGCAAAATTTATCTTAACTAGTAATTTCTCTATATAAGCGTCTGAAATAGATATTGATATGGGTTTTGAGTCTCTTTTTTCTAATTAATGATTAGAAGATTTTTACTGCTCTAAAATAGGCGTGTGTTTGTTTATAAGCGGATTCTTTGGAGGGAACTTCTTGCAACGACAAAAGAAACAGTCGAAGAAAATTTAAATTATTTTAATTTTGTTTAAGTAAGAAGAGTGTCGTAGATGTCACATATCCACGAAACTCGTTAGACAAGTACACTTGCCCTTTTTTTGGGCAAGTTTGCATTATATGAATTGAAAGATCGCTTTACCTTATCTTTCAAGGTACACACCTTACGTGAAGAAATCGAATGCTGCATCGTCATCATCATCGAGTTGAGATAAATTATTGACATTTAAAGAAAGTTGAGTGGATCTGCTTCATTGGTCACATGGGACGGTAAGAATATAGATTAATAACATTTGTCATATGTCGCGAGCTTCTTAGTCATATTCTAGAAGACTGTAAAATTAGAAAGGGCTAATGAACAAAACTCTATTTAGCTAGACCACAGTACACTTACATGTATCGTCTAAAAACCAAAGGCAATTAACTTCCGATATCGGAGGTTTTTCGATTGACAATTTCACGGATTTTTGTATGATGTTATGGAAAGATTTTTACCACTTTCTCACGTCGGTCACTCAAGGTTGAGTTCACCTCAGTTGACAATGACGCATTTGCAATCCGTAGCATCGATCACGTCGGGGTTGTTCGCATTGCTTTTTTAAATGAATAAAAATAAAAGAGAAAAAGCCCAAACGTCTCAGGATTGAAAATTTGACGAGTATCGAAACAGATTGCGTTTAAGTAAACTTTGAAAAGTTTTGCGCATTTGCGCATTTGATCATATGTAAATGGCATTTGCGCACTACAAATATTAAACTACGTATGATGCACGATCCTCGCAGTAGAGAGCGTTAGTTATGCAATAGCGAAAATCAGACCTGAAAAAAATCAGACCTGAAAAAAATAAGGCCTGTACGGGATTCGAACCACTGTCCTCTGCGATACTAGTGCAGCGCTCTACCAATTGAGCTAACAAGCCAATTGGGAGCAGGCCGTTAAGTTGATTCGTAATAAACCCGTGATGATGACCCGTGACTTTGTTACTTATACCCCTTCTAGTTTTCACTGATAATTCACTTACTGAGTCTTTTCCTTAAAGTACATGATTGTATATTCGCTATAGGTGGGCATGAGTTGGCCAAATGACCTTGGAAAATTAAACGTTTGTTGCTAGAGCACCAACTAAAACCCGTTTTTTACAAGAATTTCACAACGAGCAACAACGTACTTAATGCTTCCGATCAACCTAATCAATCTTTGACTGCGTAAGCGAAAACAGGAACTTTCGTGCGCCGGCTCTCAAGCCAAGGTCAGTTAACAAAGTAAGCGCGTCCACTCAAGGAAGTGATACGAAACAGTCACGATTTGGAAACTTATTGCGATAGCTTATACTTAAATAACTTCGGACTTGGAATTCAACTGAATAATAATTTATCCTAAATATGAACGATGGTCTAAATCGGAACTAACTAAATATCACGTTTGATAATTACTTCTCGGTAATTTTCTGTAACAAAGCTGAAACAAGTTAAGGTGATTGACCTTTGCATAATGATGCATAATTTAGACTCGAAATTTTAAGTAGCCTCTCTACGTTTGATCAGAAAAACCATTAAATTGAACCGAAAACTCATAAATAAAATACGCAGTGTGACTAAATGTGACTACAATTAATTGTCAGTACATGGCGGAACTTGTCTAAGTTTTCATCGTAAGACAACCGAAAGCAAAGGAATAACATGTTACTCTACCTCCATCCTATGTATGTGACAAGTGTCTACGGGATGCGAAACTTTCTCGTAAAGACGAATTATTTGTCACTATTCGGTCTAAGCTCACGGTGAGTATTGTAAGCGACTTTTGTCTCAAGGAGAACATTCAAGAGACGAGTAAAACTGAGTGCATGTATCGAAGGCTGATCTACAAGCTCGAATTATTAATTGTTTAACATTTAAATTGAACTCCCCTCTTCCAGATAGAAAAGCGAAGCAGCCTTCTCCGAGTAAACTACAATTTAAAATTATGCCACCGAGTCCGGTCAATGTTTAATGATCATCGAAGTAAATTGACATACCAGCTCTCAAATACATTTTCTGTTCTTCATACATTAATTTACAGCGTAAAGGGACTGGAAAGTTCGTCAAAACCATCAATCGACCGCTGAAATATTCGGGTTTTCTTCAGTTAGGAATACGTTGCTGTGCGAGAATAAAAGAGGCCTGATATTAATATTAGACACAGAGAAACTCCTGACCCGGCGATTGGCAAAACAGAAGAGGTTTCCGCTCATGATTTTATGTACTTTTGAGTGGTGACTGACTGGCTGACTGAAGTGTTGACTGACTCAATCGTAATTGATTGACTGGTTAACTGAGCTCCTGACCGACTGGAGACTGGTGACTAATTAATTGGTGATTAGAACACCTTGTCCTAAGTTAGAAATAAGCGCCCAACGACCTAATTAGAAAATTTGTGATTTACAATGCCTTGCCATGGCCGTGTTTATCAGTAGGAAAATTAAATGAATGAAATGATCAAGCCACAGGAGAAAAGTTGTATTGGATGTTCTAGCGCTAGATTGCTAATAAGGTCATTGACCGGGTAGTCTTCTAGGGAAATCCATAATGTTTGTGCTTAAAAAAATGTTAAATATTCTATCTAATTTTTAGATATTACGTGATTTACCAGTCATGGAAGCAACGACTTCACCTTCCACGAAAGAAACAGCCAATTACGCCAGGCTATGTCGATTACTAGTGGATGTGGGATCTCAGGTCCTGAGAACGACGTTCGACAACATTCATCCACCAAAATACCTGGGAACAGTTTTATCATGTCAATCAAAATATGCCATACTGCTGGCACTAAAAAAAAAAAAGGTTCTGAATCCTCGTCAGTGGGAAAAATTGTACCCCCGGCAGTCGCCTGTATCATCGCAGCATTTTGATATTACTCTGCTGATGATTCTACTGAGAAATGTCTGTGATCTTGATCCTCCCATTAATGGTTGGGATCGTCCTCCTTCTAAAGAAAACATGACCACTGCAGCAGATATTGTTCGCGTTACGTACTACAGAGACACAGTCTACAGTCATGCCAGAAAGGCCGCTGTTGATGACAAAACATTCAACCTATACTGGACGTATACTACTGCTGTATTGGTGAGATTGGGAGGAACGCATTACCGAAATGCCATTGACAGTATCAAAACAGAAAACATGAACTCGCATTTAGCTGAGAAACTCTTCCAAGAGTGTTTAAAAGATTGGGTTAAAGATGAAAGCATCATCAAGGAAAGAGAGGGTAAGTTGTCTTGATAGAGTCGGTGAGCTACTCTAAAACAAGACGTTTATTTTAAGATACTTATTTAAAGATTGCTTTCAACATAATAGGGTGCCCTCCGGAAAAAAATTATTCTTTTTCGACAAATTTAACTTAACTGCTTTCTCTAGCTAAAGGCCTATACAAAGAAATTTTGAACATTTTTATCAAATTTTGTTGACAGTAACCTTTGGTAAGAGTTCTAGGCGGTTAAGGAAATCACAAATTTTGTGAAATAGTTTTAAATTACCAACGGCTCCTCTTTAAAATTTTGTTTGTTGCCTATTTCAACCTTATGTAACGCTTACTCATTTCTAATCTGTAAGATAAAAATTATTTTACAGGAGAATCAGAGGCATTCCACGATTCAGCACGAATGAAACTGTCATCAAACGAAACTAATTTGTTGGGGGCTTTGGTAACTGGCATAAGACGCTTAACGATGAAATTCCTCGCTCGTTCCCCTTCGAAATCAGGTGAGTCGCGAGAATAATATGATTTGAAAAGAAATGTTTGACCATCATGTGGTCGGGATGATGTTAGATGGATGAGTCAAGTTCAAGGTTTCGGATTCCCAAAACTTCTGACGAGGAAAACGCGTCTGTTATCAATTCTGTTCCGATATCTACGGTTTACAAGAACAAGTGGGCGATACAGATTTTTCGAGAATGGCAAGTCCAAAGAGCAAAAAAGTTGTGCTCCATTGAGCCAGGCGGAGTGTTCAAAGCTGAAGACATTGGGTTGCATGTGCAAGAGTTGACTGAAAGCAATGAAAACATGAATGGCAAAAGTCTCATTTACTTCAAATTAATTTATTGATGTCATATGATTTTCCGAGAATCAGTGGACATTTGGACATCGCATCCAAATCTTTAAAGATTTTCATCCAGTTTTTCATTGGGTATCCAAACACATTCACATGATGTGGAATACATGCAGTGATTTGTAGTTGACTTTATGAATTATTAATGAGTTTGAGAAGGATGACTGACTACGAATACTTCTGTTCCAAGAAATAAGGAAGATTAGGCTTTTAGCAACTGCCGTACTTTTCAAAAGACCTTTCTTTTCAAGTTGGCTATCACAACCAAAAATAATTCTATTGAAGATTCTTGTTTTAATAAAGAGAAAGATGTTTTCGCTCTTATCCATGAGATGGTCTTCACATAACTCTCCGTTTTCTTAATTGATATCAGCTCAGCAAATCAGCCATTGTACCTATCGCAATATTTTCCCATACCTCCGGTTGTGGTGCAATCCATTCGTGAAAGTTTGTTATTATTATCGTTGTTATCATCATTATTACTGTTATTATTGTTATTATCGTTACTATGATTATGACTATTATCAGTATATATTATTATCATTATTCAAGTATTCATTAAGGTACAGGGAACTCTAAGATTTCCTGTAATCTTAACGCGAATTACCCCATTACAAACTAAGTGTAGATAATATAGACAATACACTACAATGACAAACTTAACAAGAAAACTGAACAATCGAGTTACTTTTATGACACTTAGGACAAGTAATTTTATAAGAATTTATGTTGTCTTGGTTAAAAACTTGGTTCAAAAGGTTAAGAAAATGCTTTGGAAATGCTTTGAAAATGCTTAAGGAACAACTCGCTGAAATATAAGGGATTACAATCCAGAGGTTAGCTTTTGGAATAAGAGAAAGTCCTTCAAACTAGATGTTCTTGGAATGCCCTTGCGTCTCAAATATAGTCCAGATGATGAGCTTCTAGATGTACCTTTACAAAAATTAAGGTCAAGATCAATTAAAGGAAAAAATGTCTATCGGGGCACTTCAATTTCCTTGGTAATCATTGCAGACTTACTCACATCATTGATGTAGGTCTTAGCATTATCTCAGAATTCATTTCAGTTACTGTATCTTTTAGCAGAGAGAAGCACTGAAACAATCAATGGGAATCAAGAAAGAGAGCCACACTTAGCTGAGGTCGAAAGGAAAATCAACCGAATACAACCCGGTAAAGTGTTATATGAAAATGAACAGAGAGAAGGGTTTGCTGCGACACCTGTTGTGCGACTGCAAGGAAGATCCGTTTGTGGGAACCTAACCGATGATAATGTTGATTTACCAGGTAAAATTAAGGTGATGCAAGGCTATGAGAAAATGCAATTACACAAAGTTTTTCCCGAGAAGAAAATAAATAGATTACTATCGGAAGATGTGTATCCAGCGGAAGAAAACTGTAAAGTGATTGACAAAATTATACTGGCGCTAGAGAGGGCCATCAACCATTATCAAAGTGATAAAATTGCAGATGCGCGAAATGCTCTAAGATCTCTTTTCGTGGTATTGTCAAATATTCAGCTACATTGTCTTGAAGTTCCAAACGAGGATCAATGGCCATGGGAAGTTCTAGCTCGCGGTAAGGAGCTTTTTCTGGAGAGCGGCGTCAGTTGCTGTATCAAACATGGAACGTTGCTGTTAGATTCCAGCTATGATGGGCAAAAATACCTCAAGAAAAGCAGAAGCTCTCCGATCAATCCATTATCCTCACCCAAAAACTCAAAGGTCCTTGTGGAAGAGTTTTACTCGAGCGTGCTAAACGTTCTGGGGGCGTTTGCATTGTTAATCTCAGAGCTCGAAATTGCTCGTAAAACATTTGAACTGCTAGTAGATTTGCATCTTCGATTAGCCAGCTCCAATTCCCCTTTAAAAGATTTAGGAGCTGCTTACAACAACAAAGGATGTATTTTACTTATAATGGGAGATTTGCGCCAATCAATCGAAGAGTTTAACAAATCATTGAACTATTTCAAATCTGAAGAGTTACGACAACTGGAATGTTTGTCAATGGACACCAAGTCTGTTGCAGTGTATAGCAACATTTGTCGCCTGCATCTGATATCTAGGAATTTCAATGAAGCTCTAAAGCTACAAGAGCAGCTGGTGGATGATTATGAAGCTAGAGAGATTAACGAGATACCATTTCAAACTCTATTTATGATGATGAATAATCGGGCAGTTTTGTATACTTCTTTCGGTAACTTTAAAAAAGCAGAAGAAGCCTTAAAATACCTGAAATCCTACTGTAATAGGATAGAGAGGGAGGATTGTGGGCGCCTTCTCAATTTTGTTCGGCTACATCTTTGTGAAGTACTGCTTCTACAAGGAAAAATCAGGGAGGCTGAGGAAGAATTTAGCCTTGAGAAACTATCTTCCTCTTCCTTCACAGATCTAGTTGACATGTTTGGAGGCCTTTACATGAATGTAAGAATTGAAGCATTTGAAAAGTTAGTGGAGGTGTTTGTCCGTAGGGGAAAAATCCAAATTGCCATAAGTCTACTAGAGAAAACCGTGGAAATAATCAAAATGAGTTTCGGATCAGATCATTTAAACCTTGCGTCGCTTTTGTTCAAGCAAGGTACTATTTTGAGCCTCACTGGAGACCTTACGAGTGCTGCTGGGAAATTTAAATTCTCTGCCGACATATTGCAAATTATTTTTGGCCAAAAGAATCCCCTCCTCGTCAGATGCTACATGTCTCTTGGTGACCTAGAGTCGAGACTGAAGCACAAAGAAGAATCACTCCGTTACTTCCAAAGAGCCATTGAGAGCTTAGAGGTCTTGTACCACGTTTCATTTTTAAATGAATTGTCTGCAACTTACTTGGAGATTATGGAAAAACCCAAGAAGTCTCCAAGAAGTGAAGTGTCAAAAGTGATGATTGAAGGTCTGGTTGCTGAGCATGGACAGGCATTGGCCGTGTTACTCCAAGAAAACAACCTTCATTTAAGAAGATCCAAGACCGGCAAGAAACCGCTGATTTCTGGAGAAAGACTGGGAAGTGAATGCTCAGGCTCGAAGATAATGATTTCACAGAAATATGCCTGTGACTTTTTGCAGACTGGAAAGAAACTGCTCCGTCAGGGAATGAAAGAGGAAGCTGCAGCCTTTTTCGAACAAGCAGGGGCGCATTGCGAGGAATATCATTCTAAACAGGGTCATTCGAACGCAGAGCTTGTTCGGATGCATAGCTTACTCCTAAAGAAATATTCTGGTGAATTGACATCCGACCATGATGTGAACCACACTTTAGAAGAGCTGAGCAAAGAAATCCAGGAAAATGAAGAAAGGAATAAAGGCAAACAAACCACAAGAGACGCAACAACGACGGAGTTTGACCATCAGTTCAATCTGAAGCTGTTCTTAATTTTCCTTATCATGTTTTCTATTGAACTGAAAGAGATTGACACAACATTTGCAGCGTACGACCTTTATACAAGACTCTCATCCAACGAAAACGAGTTTCTTTTCATGCTCAATGACGGCATCCAAGTTTTTGCTTCGAAAGCGTTAGTTCATTGCAATGGAGAAACTGCATTCCAAGATCTTCTGGTTTCCTCAACAATTGGCTCGGAAGAAAGCATCGTTGAATGTCCTCCTCCTGACGAACAGGTTTTCAGAAGTTTGTCCTACAAGACAAATACCTCCTCAAATGGGTTTCTGGCTACTTGTCGCTCGCCTGTCATTCTTGATATCGATGACCTTCTGGTATTAAAGAGGAGTGTCTCGCTTGCAGTCAGAGAATGTTTTCAGTCAAAGTGTTTTGAAAGTGAAAACGCAGACGGTAGGACTCAAGTAATCGTTGATCTAACCTCAATAGCAGCGTATGGCCACTGTAGCATCACGTCATATGGCGATCGTATCGAGCTCCTTCCTCTTTGTTTGACGGAAAATTTTCATGCCGGAATTCCGCAAGAACAAAGCATTTTTGAGATTCAAACCTCAGAGTGGCAAGACACTAAGTGCATGACCTTCGCAGATGAGCACACGAGCAGTTTCATGTTTAAAACTCTTGTTTTAAACCTTCTTCAGAAGTGCAGCTCCAACAAAACGCTAACTCTAGCGGTACACAGTCACAGCATATCTTTAGCAATTCGCCAACCGGTGAGAGCACTTTTGACGTTATCGTGTGACGAGAGGTCAATTGTGCAAAGAATTAACTTCATAGGAACAACAACAACAGCAACAATTCTTGGGATCACACGATGTAATGCTCGAAAGTACTTTCAAGCTTCATGCCCCAAAAGTGTGGCTGATGTGATATCTTGGGCGGCCATTGATACCTCAGCAAAGAAATATCAAGTTGCATACCAATCAGGAATTCACCTAAAGGACCCCTTGGATAACCCAGTCGCACAAAACAAAACGGTGAGTGCCTTTACTGACATCTGAAGAATGCTGCTGGCTAAAAATAAAAACCTTTGCTTCGAAGAAATTAACGTAGATGCACACATATACCGTTGCTTAAATTGAAAAGGTTAAATAAAAGTAGCGATCCATCCTTTCACTAAAATTTCTATCCATATTTCCAAAGGAAACGTCCTAGATCAACTTTAATTTTTGTTCGCAAGAAAAGGTCGAAAAGAGCTAATCTAAATAACATTTAGAGTAGCTCTTTTGAACGGGTTTGGGTATGATCTGCTCTCTGAGTGACAATTAATCTATTAAATGCTTCATGTTTATTTCACGTTAGGTTATTCCACTCAAGAGCTCAGAGAAAGATTCAAAAAGCAGCCTTGAAAACAGTGTTCTACAGTGCTTAGTTGAAGTCAGTGAGATATCACGATTGCTTGACGAAGAGCCATCTCCTGTTCGAGTGGATGACAATGAAAGTTTGGGTCCAATTGGAGATGACAAAGGATTCATAGCTACTGAGTCTCAAAGTCAGATAGACCAGGAGTACATCCCTAGAAAAGACGACCATGTATGTTTGGAGGGTTTGAATGGAGAACAAACTACTTTTCTAGAAGGTCAGTTTAACCAGGATCTTATCTCTGAAAATTCGCAGCAATCAGAAATGAAATCAGAGGTGGGTTCCCGAAGCCAGTGTTCAACTTTGAAGGCCCCTAGCTGTGCCCCAATCGAGTTGAACCCGCTGGCGCATAAAAAAAATTCCACACAAAGAGCTGAAGACAGCAACGAAACCTGGATGGGTAGGCTTTTGTTTGAAAATGATAGAGAATCAAGACGCTCATTTATGGGTGACCTTCAGGGATGTTTGAAGGTATGAAAATCAGAATTTAAAGAGCATTCTTTTAACGTTGAAGAAAATGGTGATGGAGGGTTGATCAATTCAAACAGGCCATATGCAAGTCCTATGTCCAGTCTCAAAGAAAGCCAAAAAGCCGATGAAGGTATTGTTAATTACCATGGGATCCCAAACTTTCAACATCAACCTAAAGAACAAAACCAAAGTTCCAAGTTCTACGTGGAAAGGAAATGGAGTTTCTTCCAAGCAAATGATGTAGCAACAATCAATGAAGGTGCTCCGAAGGTACTTAAACTTGTTAAAAATCCAGCTCCGCCTATAGATGATATAGAATACCCCACTAGTTTGGAAATGATATCAAAATGTAACCGACTGAAAGAAGGAAACATTTCTTTTGAAGATGAAGAATCGAAAGTCGCTGATGGAAATTTTAAACCTATCGATTAGAGCGAGACCACAAGAAGCCAAAGGAATTCAGTCAAGTCCCTGGTTTTAGAAGACACCGACGTTGGCGATGGACCCTTGAGGGCATTCGAGTTTGAGCGGGAGATCAACAACAGGCAAGAATGGCTTGGGAAATATTACTTGCCTAGCTCATCAAGAGCACACAAGAATACAAAGAGAAGTCCTACATCCCCAGTTATGACCTCAGTTTACCATGACGCTTCTCTTAGATCCCGTTACCAAGATGACGCTACTTTCAAGAATTTGAGGCTTTCAAACGTACAAGCTAAGGGACAAAGCCAAAAATTGACGCATGCCTTAGACACAGAACCTAGCTCTCAGGAAGATAATGCTACAACGAAAAGTGACGGCGAGGCGCAAGAAACACAACTCGTGGGAGATAGGTTCTCGGGAGCTGATTTCTTTAGCAATTTTCAAGACCCCGAAAATTCAGAAGAACAATCTAAGCTTCTGGGAAATGGAAACACTAACTCGTCTGAGAGGTCTCTAGATGATGAATACTCCATTCACTCGTATGATGGTTTTCAAGACTCTGATATGAATGAATCTACCAAAACTTTTAGAACAAAGGCTAGCGAAATCCAGATGACTGAAGAGTCGATAGGTGCATTCGATTTTTCCAAAGCAATTCAAGAAAACTACATGGAGGCCGACCCTGAGTCTGAGGATACCCAAGGAGCTCATCAAAGGCATTCATCCATGAAATCACCTGAAAACTTTCAAGCAAAACTCACACAACTCAGTTCTTTTAAAGAAGCAAAACGAGCAATGATTACCAGTTTGCATGAAGGGGAAAGAAGACATGAGCTAGAAGATACAGTAAGGTTCAAAGGAAATGGCTGCGCTTATGTGTCCCCTCCTTTAGAGATAACGAAAGTAACGGTATTCTCGTCCTTTTCGGACCATTTTTCACCAGATGGACCCATCAGTGAAAGTTATTCCATAGGCCAGTGCAACACTGATGTTACATCGATTCTAAACGCTACGGATGTAGTCGATGGGTCATGTAAACTCTAATCAGATATTGTAAAGCAACCAGACGAGAGAGACAGCCATTCTATGTACTGCTCCTCTAGAGCAACCAAGGATGGACAAGGAACATTATCAGATGTGATGCCTATTTACGGTAAATCCTCTTTTACATCAACTTACCAAGGCGGCGATGTAACTGCTGACGGCGACAGTGGCAAGGCATCCCCAAGAGGGACCAAAGACGATTTCGATGGACCAATGATCACTCAAGAACCCATTCCAAATTTCAGCGTAAGAAAAGCTCAAGGCTTTTCTTCAAAAGCTCCCTTTGGCAATACTGAATATTTTTCAAAGGAAAAGGCGAATGCCCCTGACTCAAACATTGATCATGGGGGAGCGAGACCAAAACGAAGATTGAATGACAAGGGGAAAGATACGAATAAACTCACTATGACTAATTCAAGGTCAGTTAGTCACCACCATACAAGAAAGTTCGGCTTAGATCCGGTTTTTGTAGCGCGTCACATAAACGACGCTAACATTCCGGATTCCTCTACCAACGCTGGCAACTACGATAATGCTGCAGTGGAAATTCATCAGCAGGACGATCACAACCAATATTTCCCTTCATCTAAAGATCATAGAAGTTTCTCCTTTGGAGGTAAAGATGCATCTTGCATTAAAGGATATTTTCAATCATGCCATGTCTCTGATGAAGGTAGGACAAGTTGCCCTCAAAGAGTTGTGCCTCAGTTATTACCTCTGAGTCAAGCAGAACGCCCTAGTTTGCCATCTCAGGTGTGTGATGAAGTTTTCTTACTGCTGCCAAGGCGATATTGTGTTGACGAAGGAGATCCTGTTATTCCTGATCCCAAGTTGTTTAACAACACTTATTCACGAGATTCTGTTAATGGTGTGATATCTAGGGTTAATAATTATGACAACAGTACGAAAAACGTTCACTATGAACATACCCAGATTTCCACAAGTCCTGAGGATGAGGTTTCATTGACAGGGAATTCTTCAGGTTCTCTTCTTGGATCTTTGGAACAAGTAATGGCCCAAACTGTCCAGCTTATTGCGTCAAGCGTCACTGCCGTAAATGAGGCTCAACCTATACTCCAGTCGATAGAAAAAGTAGGCGTACAAGAGAATGCAAGGGAATTTACAGAACAAGAGGTATCCACTCCAACACCAATCAACGAATCAAGTAGTCAAGAGGACTCCATGCAATTAAATGAGTCCACTTTAGGAGCTGATCGCGAACCACAATCCATAGCCACACCTGTACAGGAAAGTCCACGCCCAGTTTGCAGTCATTATCAACGCCGATGCCTGGTCCGGTTTCCCTGCTGTGGAAAGTTCTTCCCTTGCCATCGTTGCCACAATGAGTCTGATTGCAGTGAGGATCAAGCAAGAGCAATCAATGCCACGCATATACGCTGTACTATCTGCTATCACGAACAAGTGGTGAGATTTTATTTGACAACAGAATTTAAGTTCCTCGCTCTCTTTTTTAAGACGAGACATACAGCAGAATCGCAAAGTTCCTGCAGATGCAATCAAATCGTTATGTTAGAAGGAATTTACAAATTGACTGCTGAAGTTAAATTCTATCTGTTATTTGTGACACATTCTCCTTGCATTTCAGATCGATGAAAATAGCCAGAGGTGTGGTTTCTGCAAGGCGAAAATGTCTGAATATTTCTGTGCAACATGCAATCATTTTACATCTGTTGACAAGAATCCTTTCCATTGCACAAAATGTGGGATCTGCAGGTTAGATACTGTGCCCTGTGTTCATTTACTTCAGAGCACGTTTTAATAAGTTATGAATTACAGCCTTGTAACAGTTAGAATTATTTAACAGTTTTAAGAAGTAATAACGTCTGTCTACCTCGACCGCACTGACCTCCTACTCAAGCTTCTGTCTTCGAGGTGCGTTGTTTGACAAGGAAATTTCCTTTACTAGTGCGAGTGAATAAATATGTCGGGGCTATTTGAAGGGGATACCTAATGAACTGATGGGGGAGGATTATTTGATATTCCAAAGTTTTCATCCGGTATAAAGAGAGTAGCATTGACCCAGTGACTGTAGTTGTTCTGGTAACGATAGGTTTCTTATTCATTAGATAAAGAAAAGAAATGTAATTTCTCTGCATTATTTGTCAATTATGTCCATAGAATCCATAAAGACAGATCCTTCCACTGTGATGTTTGTAACGTATGCCTGGACAAACGTCTTGAGGGAAAACACAAGTGCAGGCCTGATTCGGGACACGATGAATGCTGTATCTGTCTGGAGGTGAAGTATTTTTATCTATGGCCTTAAAAACCTTATCCGTGCTTACATATGTTCAAAGGATTTTTTTTGTGTGTTTTGCTTTAATTGACTTTTTATTTTTGTTTTCCTTTTAAATTCCTTCCTGCTGCTTGATAAGATTACAATTCTTAAAATGTATCTTCTCTTCAATCTTTCAACGTCAAAAGGATTTGAAATGATGTTTTCAAAGTGAGAATATTATTCTTTTATTTTTTTTACATTGTTCATAGGACGCCTTCAGTGGTTGGCAAATTCTACCCTGCTCTCACAAGGTTCATAAAGACTGTGCAATTGCAATGATACAAAACGGGGTGTAAGTTTATTTCTTGAAAGTTCTTGTAATCATTTAACACTGCCTGTATATCCTGGGATGGATCGTCCTATCGCATGGTTTCATTAGCTTGGACCACTACTCAGCCGAAAAGAAACTCAGCCATTTAGAGGTTGAAAGGCCCATTTGGTTTCAATACTTGTCAAATGTTCACTTCAGTTCATGGGAAAGGGGAACCACTAAATTTAACCATCCAAACCGCTTCACCAATGCAATCTTAAAAATTGTATCTGCAAGGCATCTTTGTTGTTGTTTAAACAACCTTTAATAGATGAGGAATAGAGGTATCGAAGTTAGTATTGTGTTGTACAAGTACAGGTGATTTGCCTTTCTAGCCTCACTCGTTTTGCTCTGGAGTTCTACGTGCTCATGTTTTCTCTCCAGTTTCTGTTGATGACATGTCATGGGACTGCTAAGATGGCCTGAAGTGACATTCTAAATGTGCAAAAACATAGACATTTGTGCAGAGGTCATTACTGCTGATCCAAAGCCCTAACTGTGGATCCGTAGTAATAACTTTGGATTTGCAGTTATGACTTTAAAACAGTATCCAAAATGCATCTTACTGTTAATTAGAAGAGCGCTTACAGGCCGCCGTAAATAGGCGTTTTTTTCTTGAAAATGAATTACTCATTTGTTTAAAAGTAACCTTGCCAATGTATTTTTTTTTTTTTTTTTTTTTGCAGCCGAACGTGCCCAATATGCCGACATCCATTGTTCGGTCAACTTCAAACTAGTCCTCAGTAACAATTGATAAAAAAAAACAAAACTCAAACATTTGAAAATGAAAATGAAAATAACTTAGCTCAAAAATCTTATTATGAAGATAATTTTACTTATCATTTATGCAAAAAAGGTAGATTCATAGATCGATTTGTTACTTAATTTTCTTACTAGCTTTTTCAAACTTTTACTATATACTATACAGTAATCAGAAAATTATGACCGTAACAACTACGGACGGAATTTGATGACAACTACAATTGCTACCATATTAATATTTTTATTTTTAATTTCAATGACTTTTGCAGCGGCGGACACAACAAATGATATTTGCGTGACACTTTGTGTGACATTTGTGTGACATTTGACTTTGTGTGACATTTGTGTGACATTTGTGTGACATTTGACTTTGTGAGACATTTGTGTGTCTACACCGGAGAGACATTATTTTTAACTTGGAAATGATAAGTCGAAAGAAGAAAGATACTTGCACGTGATCAAAGGGACGAGAAAACATCAAAAACTAGAAAAAAAAAACAAACAAACAAAATAATTACAGGCAAACGTAAAAGCAAAAATAAATGAATAGATAAATAACATATAAGAAAAACAACAAGCAGTCAAGCAACTACACAAATCAAAGTGACAAACAAAACTACCAAGAGAAAGAAAAAACAAACAAACAAATGAATCTAAAAACAAACAGACAAAAAAAGAAATATGAAAAACTCTCAAGAAGGTTCCTTTAATTCATTTAACAATAAATGCCATCGGTTTTGAGTAAACGGTTAGATCGTTATGACTAAGGACTCTCCAGGACTGAATGTGAAAGAATAAACCCGCTGAAACACGTAAAGGAAATGCAATCACTGGTAAGTTCTTCTGCACTGTGCAGTAAAGACGTAACATGTTGAAATATTCTCAGTCCTTCTATTAAGAGCACATTTTTACCTGAAAGCTATTAGAATAATGTATACTGTGGAGTAAATGTCTTTGGAATTGATAGAATTAAAAGAAATATGACGTCCTGGAAGATCTGACAAATGATGATGATCTTTTAGGGTTTACGATTTAAGCGTGGAGAAGAAAAGCAAATTCCAGAATGAAGCTGCAACTGCATGGCGACGAGTATCATATTTAGGTAGAGTGATTTGCAACAGAAATTCACAGGTTTGAAACCTTAGCCCAGTCATTCAGGTCGATTTTTTATTCTTGTTAGACCTGCGTTTATATTCCACGTTTCGCTTTAAATAACCAATCGGTTAAATACTCGCTAAGCAGTATTTTTATGAATGAACTCTCTCTTCTATTTGTGTATTAAAATCATGTAAGTAGTTACATTTAAATTCTTACATTGTATCAAAAAATATATGTTAATTTTAACCTCTTTTGAGCAGCTGACCGAAGCAACGACATTTGTTTTTTTTTTTTTGTTTTTTTTTGTGCCAACGACACACCTGGCGATTTCATGGGTGTTCCCGATGCGGCGATTGCGTTTTTCGCCGTTCGCGACGATTAACGTATAAAATCGCCGTTATCTGACACACCAGAGATCGGCAATTTTATGCACTGATCTTGGTGATCAAATTTGCCGCGACCGGCGAATAAAATCGTCAGGTGTATCGCCGGCTTTATGAAGACATTTCTACGGTTTTCTCACTGACCTGGACTATACTTATCTCTTTTGTGGTTTACTTTGTTGCAGGTCTCTTTGGAAAAATCTGATGATTCAGTCTAAAACATGATTAACGAATTGAAGGCTTTACATGACAAATTGAGGTCTGCCACTTACTTCGTCTTCATTTTTCAAGTACGGACTGCATGGAATGAGAGAAACCACCAAAAGGGGCCATCGAAGGCATTAGATTTAGAAGTCTCGCGATCGTCGTTTGATCCATCCATAGAGAGACGCAACGTATCCCCGGTTGTCGTCTCACTTTTCCAGCCACTGATTGTTTAAGACATTCAGAAATTGACGTGGCAGTTTTGGGCTGTTGCCGAAAAACGAAACGTAATTGAAATCACTAGGGTGCAGCCTGGTGCTTTGATTGCAAAGTTTTTTTAAAAATGTTTTTGACGTAGTCGATAATCTTATCCTCTTTCAAGCGCAAATCAGAGCGCAAAAAAAAAATTAGTTCATTATCTTTATGTCTGTAGCAGTATGTACTCTGACTTTTGTTTTTCTGCTAAACTGCATTTACATATTTTTATAGAGTGCGTCATGATATACTTTCATTGTTAACGCTGTATTTCAAATACCGACCTTGGACTGCAAAAATTATTCAATTGATTGGCAACCTGGCACCTTTTACCAATTAAAGCTATTTCGGGCTGTCATTTACCCTTCATTTGCATTTTTTTTATAATACTGAGACAACTGTAACTGTATTTTAGGTATGGGATGAACAATAAAATGTCGACTTGATAAAAAAACCAACCGTTTTCCCGTGTTTCCAGCGAAAGCGTGTCCCAACACATGTGTGCGTGTGTTTTTCTTTCTTGTTGCCTTTGTTTCATGGGTTTGTTTTTTAACTGCTGTTTTCCAGTTGTCACCATCATGACTTTAGAGGAATACTGATCATGCTGACAGATTCGTCTACTCACTTAGGGTCCCCGGAGTTCAGTTCTTAAAACAGAGTGGGATTGGGATTGAAACTCTTCTCGTTCTCTGCTCCTAAGCTCAGTTTGAGTTTAAAGCGTTGGTTTTCTGCGACGCATGCACTATCGTTCTTCTCTCAGTACAATGCCTGTTTTGATTTTCAAATGATAGGGTTGTCAGGTTTTGGCGTTCATATATCTAAATTACTACTACCAGGCAACTTGTATCATCATTATTACTACATGACTGTACTACCTTTGTCATTGTTTACCTGTAAATTTTTTTGACAAGAAAACACTTAGCAGCGATGAAAATGCTGATCCTCTCTTGACAGGAATGACTTGAGAACACTGGAACCGTACGTCTTTGATACTATTAAAAACAAGAAATCGCCATGAGTTAATTCTTTAGTGCCTTTTTTTATTCTTTGGGGGGTTTTATTGGCCCCACTATTTTTATTGACGTCGGCTTTCTGGTCAAACTGACCCGATGTTTTTTAGGTATGTTTTGTCAATGGACAGCGACGTATACTTTGGAAAAATACTGGCCAATATCATTGATATTCCCCAATGTATTTTCTTGGGTAGTTCTCAACAAAATTGCTTCATTTTCAGAGAAATATCCAATTTACTCAGGTGGTATTTGATTTGCATGTTATGTAGCCAGAGGAATTAAAATAATAGCTTTCAGGGACAAGAAATCAAACATCCTTACTCACGAAGGCAACGTCTACCTAAATTCAGACAACTTAAATCAATTCAACGAAAACCATGGTGCAATGGTGTTAATTTTGCGCCGGCCTTTGCTACATTGCATAATCACATTTTGAACTTAAATCGTCTTATTCCCGGAACTTGTCATGTTAAACGATAGCAGACTTTTTCGGGAACTTCATAAGATCTTCGCTGTATACACGCGAGCAAATCATGTGCAAGTACATAAGACAATCATTCGAATGGGCAAACAATGCAAACACTTTACGATGTCTCAAGTTATGCTTAAGTAAGCAAGTTCAAAAGCGTCATCAGCAAAAAACTTGGGAGTGGATGCAACTAACTATTCAAGGTTCTTCTAGCATTGATGTTTCAAGATTTTATTTGCAATTCAGCGAGCGATCCTGCGAATTCGGAGGGAGATGTTACCGTGCAAGAGTGTCAAGATAGGATCGAAGCAGAATAAAAAAAATTGAGAACTGAAGTTTTAAGTTTCATGAAAGATAATACGGAAGCTCCCACGAAAATGCCCTCAGGGCACTTTCACTTTCACTTTCACTTTCAAAATGTGATCCGGCTAGAAAGAGAGAGCACTGAAGTAAACAGATCACAGGTTATAAAAACATGGGCAAAGTCCCGAGACGGTGAATGATTGTGTTTCAGCGCTGCTTCTTGAAATCAGTTCCACGTTTTAGTGACTCCTTGGTGAATGTGAAACTTGCCTAAAAGGGCTTTTCCTTTCTTTAGATAAACCTTGAATCACAAATCAATCGTGAATAAAAATGTATTGTTCATCTCAATACACTAAGTCTGTAAATTGCAAAAGCACTGAGATTGAAAGGGGGTCTTAAAATGATCGGGTGCATGGCGTCTTGTGGTTTGATGTGAATTGTTTGAATTGGCTTTAAGGTAAATCATCATTTCCAAGAAAGGAAAAGGAAGCATATTAAAAATAAAGGCTGATAGTTTCGAAAGAAACTGTTTGGGGCTGCGTCGGTGGGAGTAACGAAATAATTTGGATATATCAACAAAGTTGAAATGGTAAATTGGCCACCGTAACTATTACAAAAGCTGACGTTTTGATCGTTAGCCCTTCGTCGGAGCGAATATTAAAAATAGTAAATATGTAAATGCATCAATATGTGAATGCGCCGCACATGGCTGCACTCTTATCTCTCTGTAGTTAATTTAGCTTGCATCCTTTCCCTTGCCAATCAAACAGATGGCTCTTAGTCGCTTAGTAAGACTTCCTAATGGACTGTCTAAGACCTTCTGGCCACGATACCGCGGTAAAAGAGCAGGACGTCTCGTCAAAGATAGAGGAAACGATCGTTACCATCTGATCAGTGTTGCTCGACCACGGGATCCTAACCGTGTTGCTACATTAACAAGACTTCACCGTTCCCGAAACCCAGCGAACTTGATATCAGTCACCATATCCCCCGCAAGCCCAAAAGGAGGTTTGTCGTCGACCTATGTTCTGATCATAAAGAGATGACAACAGAGAGAACATTTGAAGCACTCGGAAGTAATCAGAGTAACGTGGTAGATTTTCCAAGACAGACAGATTTCGTTGACGGGCCCAAATCAAAAGAGGAAAATGGAACGCAATCTTTAAACCAAGGCTCAAGAGTAATAGAGCCAATAAGTTCATACGGCCAGATACATGTCAAGTCACAAGCCACTATCTCAAACCACTATGAAACTATCACCAGATCGATATATCAAGGGGGCGCTGTTGTTGCTGACGGCGAAAGCAATCAAGACAATCTTAATAACTTTGATACTGTAGATGGACCAGCACTCACACAAAATCCGCTCAAGGCATTTAATGCTGGTGAGAGGTTCACAGCCAACATGAAGCACAAAAGTGTAATCTCATGTAGCGAAAACGAGTCACATACAGATAGAGATGCGCTCTGCGAACACAGATATCCTCTTAAAAGTAAGACTGAGTTCTTTCAATCTCACTCGGGTGACGGAGGAGCAAGACCCAAACAGAGATCAACGCATAACACCAAATGCCCCTTACCATGGCCCGGCGGTACAAATCCAATTTCAGCTTACTGTGACTTCGAATTAGAAATTCTGGGCCTAGACCCTGTCTTTATGGCACGCCACATCAAAGAGAGTAGCCCATTTCCTTCGTTTCACTGCGAGGGCAACTATAATCATGCTTCATTAGACGGTCCGTGGCAGGAAGATTACGAACAGGAGTACTCTTCATTTAATGGTCATGACCAAGTCTTAAAAGGCAAAGGTCAGAACTCACCCGACAAGAAAGAGTTCATTCCACACGATAGAGCCCATAAATTTAATATGAGAGATCCTGTATATAACGCATCAGTAACCAAAAACTTTAGTTTTAATCAAGTATCGCCACCTGACGGAAATGATAAAGAAAGCTGGCATTTTCCATCCTCAGAATCTTGGGAAAATAGGGTGCTGCGAAGTCAATGCTTTGCCGAGAGGGCAATCGAGTCAAATCCAACATCGCTGCCAAAATCTTTTGATGCCAACCGTGAGAAACTCTTCAATACGGGTGGATCGGTATGTGCTTACAACGACATGGATTCAATGGCTAATGAATACTCCAGCAGTATAGCTAACGATGTATGTGGGCAGTCGCTACCATTCAGTGAGAATGAGCATTCATCAACAGAACATTCGCTGGCCTCTGGTTTTAGATGTCTTCAAGAGATAATGAACAAGATTATTCGGCTTGTTGTCTCAAATGCTACCGGCACGGGGGAAACTCAACCCACAAACCAGTCAGTCGAAAAGAGAGGCGTACAGGATGAAACGAGCGGTATGGGAGAACGGAAGCTAGCCTTAACACAACAGATTAATGAGACAAACAGTCAAGTAGAATCTACCCCATCGAATGAAACGACGATAGAAGCCGAGCGACAACCTATGGCAACACCTCTACAAGAAAGTCCACGCCCTGTTTACAGTAATTATCAATGTCGGTGCTCGGTTAGGTTTCCCTATGGAAAGTTCTTCCCATGCCATCGCCGTCACAACAAGTCAGATTGTAGGGAGGATCAAGCGAGAGCAATTAATGCCGCTCACATCTGCTATCACAAGCAAGAGGTACGATTCTTGTTTATGATCCTTTGACCTTTACTTTTCTTGTTAAAATAAGTTATCTAGGATTATAACACCTCACCCTGATATAAGCTAATCTTATTCAAGAACAGCTGATTGAGTTTAGTGTCCCGAACGAAAAAAAAAAAACTATTGCATCCTTCTCAACTCTCTCCATTGCACTAAACACTGATCCTCAGGACTAATGACAGGATGATAAATGAAAACTTATCTGTTTTTCTGTTCCATAATCTCCAAAGTAATTTGCCAATTTCTTATTGTCTCTGAAGAAGTAGGTACGCTTAAGTTTGCCGACAGGCCCATTACATCTCCACCCCATAACTTTGGCAATGGCTCTCTTGGTTTTGCTCTAATATTTACTTAAAAGAGAGAGGTACGACGGCGTAATCGACCTCAGGCTAGGATGTCATAATTTGGCGGTCATCGAGCTCTCTTTGCGAAGTGTTTTCTCCAATAGATCACCTCTAACGCTAGAACTTCTCGCTACGGGGTAAACGCACACTGCTCTCTCTTAACGCTTTCATCTAAGATTTCGATCTCAAAGAAAGGTAGTTTCCAGAGCTGTCTTTACAGCGCTTGAATTTCTGTACGCCTTTTTGGAGGCCTCCCTTCGTAGCGCATTTCCTATAATTTTGAGGTTGGCGAGAGGGACAAACCAGATATGTTTGAGAATTATAAAGCCTTAAAAGACCGATGAACACAAACAAACGGCTTTTGTAAGACCCACAGATTGTTGAAGTTTACTCAAACAACATTATCTGATACTACGGAAGGCTATGTTCGTTGGACTGCCCATACTGCGGTGAAGCTATTGATAAAGTGCAAATTTACAATTTTTCCTGTTGTGCGGCCGAACGCACGGTCTCAAACTCGCACAATGTGCGACGGATCCCCAAGATACAGCACGAGGGTGTCTTCTTAAATGAGGTCATTTACTTAGAACCCAAACCACACCAGTACGTAAACGCTATCTCACTGATGTTGTTAAGGTGTTTGCGAGAAG